ACAGTGCCGCGAGAAGGAAGGAAGTCGTTTACGACGGTAACAGGCTGGAGGAGCTCATATCAAGATGTGACTGGCCCATCGAGGAGGACCCAACGTATGACTACGACCGGCTTCTGAAAGGATTGCGAGCCTGCGGAGAATGTGCCTCAGTGACTTCTGAGAAGAACTTGGAACGTATATCGAAGACCACCAAGGAATTGCTCGAAAGAAGAAGATTTCTGAGGCAGGATCCGAATGCAACCCATCTCGAGCGACTGATAGCCAACTCCAGTTGCAGAACAGCTTTGCAGGAGGATCTCAGGAAGTACAGGCAAGCCAAGATACTGGAAGCAGCCGAAGAAAGACGAAGTCTTAAGAAATGCCGAAGGGACCTCTGTGAATATCACGTACCGCTGGCTGCACTATTGAACGAAGACGGGACTCCGACTTCTTCCCGATACAAGATGGAATCTATCGCGAAGAACTTCTATACCAACCTCTTCCGCTCATCAACACCCGTGCCGATGCCCGTTGTTCCCACTGGAGAAGTACCACCACGAATTCTACCTGCTGAAGTGCGCACGGCGATCCAGACCATGAAGACGTCCACGGCTCCAGGACCAGACCATCTTTCCGTCGAATTTCTGCGAGCCGGAGGACAACGTCTACACGAGATTCTCGCGTCGCACCTGACATCTTACCTTCAGAAGGAGAGGATTCCCGACCAGTGGAGAACGTCAAGAACCGTCCTTCTTTTTAAGAAGGGTGAACGGGAAGATCTTCGAAATTACCGTCCAATATGCCTGCTGAGTGTGCTGTACAAGCTCTTCACGAAGATTATCCTCGCACGCATATCTAGGACACTGGATGAAGCCCAACCCCAAGAACAAGCTGGATTTCGCAAAGGATTCAGCTGCATGGACCACATCCAGACGGTTTCGAGGGTCATAGAAGTCTGCCGGGAGTACCGACTGCCTCTCGTCCTAACCTTCGTCGACTACGAGAAAGCCTTTGACAGCGTCGAAACCAACGCCATCCTGTCTGCGCTAGTCGATCAAGGAGTGGAACCAGCTTACGTGAGGACACTAGCCGACTGCTACAAGGACTGTACAACAACGATGCAGCTATTCCATCGCCCCCTAACCATTCCAATTGGGAAGGGGGTTCGACAAGGCGACACTATTTCGCCGAAGCTGTTCACCGCGGCCTTGCAGTGGGTGATGAAGTCACTAGACTGGGAAGAGAGAGGCATACGAGTTGATGGGAGATTCCTATCCAACCTTCGTTTTGCGGATGACATCGTCCTTTTCTCGAGCAGTATCACTGAAGCAGGGGCGATGCTGAAGGAACTAAACGAAGTAGGGAAGAAGATCGGACTGCGAATAAATCGGAAGAAGACTCAGTTCATGAAGAACGCCCTTTGCGAAGATGCAGAAATGGAATTGGAAGGCACCCCTATCATGGAGACGTCTTCTTACGTGTATCTCGGACGTTCGATGAACATGGAGAACGACTTGAGGGAAGAACTTAACAGGAGAAGAAGAGCAGCCTGGGCCGCCTTCGGGCCTCTGAAGGAAGCCACCGACCAACTGACGGACCCGGAGCTTCGTGCCCACCTGTTCGACTCAACCGTTCTCCCAGCGCTCTGTTACGCAGCTGAGACTTGGGCCGACACCGCAGCCACGTCGAAAGCTTCAAGGACCACCCACAGAGCGCTCGAGCGCAGTCTTCTGAAGATGACCCGACACGAGCAACATCTAGTCGGACTTCGTAGCACGGATATGAGAAGAATGTCCCGTCTTCGTGACCCAGCGGAATAGGTTGCGAAAGCGAAACACCGATGGGCCGGTCATATAATGAGAAGAACGGACGATAGATGGACACTAAGAACATCTGAGTGGATTCCTCGCGAAGCCAAACGTCCTCGAGGAAGACCACCGACGAGATGGGCAGACGTGTTCGTGGAACGGATGGACCAGCTGAGAAATCAGCTGGATACGATTCTTGCCCCTGGAACTCGTGGACGCAGCCACCGACGACGACCAAGAAGATCGTGGATGTCCGAAGCGAGGGACAGGGATCAATGGCGACTTCTGTACTGGGGCCCGCACGTCACGTGAGGACGGGCCATCTAAGTATCTAAGTAAGTAAGTAAGTAACTTGAAATGGTCAAAGTTTACATGTTCTTAGTTTTCCATTTTATCTCTGCACCCAGTGTGAAACAGAAGCTCCTCAAAACGATGATTGAAAGCGGAAGACCTAATCTTTCTAATAAAATTATAAGCAAGCAAATCCGTAGAAATCTCGCGAAGTTACAAATTTTTGAAAATGAAACGACGGAACTTTTGCACCAACCTAATAATACCAGATTGGTTATTGATATCTCAGATTTGATCGTACATCTTGGGATAATATTTTGAAGAGCTGGCTTCTAGTCATTTACTTGAGTATGCTTATCACTAATTGCTGAAACTTCCAATCGTTGCTGTGGCGCGGATATATACATTACATTAGCCAATCGGGAAAAAAAGTTTCATGGAACACTACTATTAGACATGAGAACGCCGCATCGGGTTTTGCGCGCTTCCGCTGCGTATTTGCAACATGGTGGCCTTGAAATGTCCCGTAGCGTCACCGCAGATTAGACAAAAACGGGAACCACAGGAGTCCCTACTGGAAAGCTTCCGGGTGTAGCGCGATTAGCACGACCTTGATGCTTTCCACACAGGACCACCGCCGCGCCCGACACACCCTGCGGCGGCTTCCCTAAGCAAAGCAAGAGGAGGAAAGGTTTGCGGCGTGCGTGACGTGTTAACACAAGTCAAAATCAGGGTGGCGCTTGAGACCGCCCGTGCAAAAAGACCGTCTCCCGTGAAAAGTTGCAATCTTTTCGAGATTCACAAGCTGCTTGCAGATTTGCAGCTTTGCTGGCATTGCTAAGAGTTTCGCTGCTTTCCAAATGTTCAGAATCTCAGAATGAATAGTTCCTGTGTATTCTTCTTACCTAGCCCATGTTTGTAGGAACTGCTTACGTGTTCTTAAAGTGCTGAGTAATTCTCAGGTCTGCATGTTGCCTTATACGTGGCTCACTTCTTGTATTTTATGCACTAGCCACAAAACACCTATGGGCAGCATATTGGCAAAGTAATGTTTACTGGAATTTACAGCTTTGCAAAGGTAGACGCCAGCTAACCTACCAGCGAAGATCAGAGCGAAAAACGCGACTGAACGAAAGCCTAAAATCCACTCAGGAAATTCTCCGGACCTAGCCCCTCGTTCCGGATTCCACTCTTTAGGGGCGCGGATCCGGAACGAGGGGGGGGCTAGGTCCGGAGGAGTGGATTTCAGGCTTTCCAGACGGCGCGGGAAAATTGCGACTGCGAGCTTTCCACTATGTGGACTTCTGTATGCGCTGAGTCCAGTGATGTGTTTGAACAAAATTAAGTGCTTTTCAAGGCATTTCCTACCCTGGAGATAGCTGGAGGTGATGGGCGAAGGATTCCGTCAACATCGCAATTGGCTGCATGAGCCGATCAGCCAGTTACCTCCGAAATGGGTAGAGCTACAATCTCCTGCAGCTAGTCGCTGATTATGGTGGGAATCCCTCGCCCATCCTTAGTTATCTCCATGGTAGGGAAACGCCGCAAAAGCACTTTTTTGAATTTCCAAGCACGGCACTGGACTCAGCGCATTTCAGAGACCATGTAGGTGTGCAAAGCTCGCAATTTTTTGGGCCACTGCCTTCAAACGCATCTTCCAACGAGTGCAGATATGAAGAGCTTCTAAAAAAGCTCGTTTTGGCCAGTTTCATGCACAAGCCCAGATATAGGTTTGAGATGGCGAGAAGGCCCCGAAAAGTGCGAAATTTTGCCGATACACAGCTTTACTCTATTCTTTCTTACTCTCACCATAATGCGAGATTCATTTACCTTTGTGTCGGTATTCTTTGATTAGATGGAATTCAAGGTGTTTTCCGGATGTGGGTGTGAAAACATTTGAATGTAGACGGGCTGCGGCCAAAAAATATTAATTTAGCGCTTGAAATGAGGTGAAAGAGGTAAAAGATTTGAAAAACATTTCTAAGTATTACCACACATAGTTTGCAGTCAGTTCTCTCATAGAACGTCTTACTACATACATAATGCAAGTAAACCAGGAGCGATTAGTGGGAGTCGGCTTAAGAAAGGCTTGCCGAACGTGCTCTGTCCTTTCGATTGTGAAGGGACAAGAACATGCCGAATTCCTCCTTCCTGGTAATCAAGGGATCAAAAAAAAAGAAAAAACCCAATTAGGCTTTAGTTGGTCAAGTCTCTAGGAAGCCTGCTGAAATGGTAGGAACTGCGCTATTACACTTTGATTTGTACGCAATAAACCTGCTGTAACAAAACCTAACACAAAAATGGGAATTGAGCAGCTATCTTGAAAATATGGCAATCAAAAATATTTTTGCAATCAAAGATATTTTCCATTCTTTCAGTTTCAAGTTAAATGTTTGGCGAAAGCACAAATTGCGCAGGATTATTCGTGAAAATGCTGATCTTTGCTTGGAAAAACTGATATAACTCAATGCAATTTCACAAGAAATGTATTCTCTGAACACCAAACATAATCTACATTTCGCATTTTTTTGCGTTTCTACATGATTGCCATTAAAACCTTGCCTAAATGAGGCATGCATCGAACCACTCAAATATCAGACAAGCGTAAGAAGATGGTTCGCTGCAGCTAATTTATGCGAATCAAGTTTTGGTTGTTTAGCTAAATATAATATGTAGAATTTTTAACTTTTATTAGAAGCGAATAAACAACTATTAAGGTCACGGGAAACAAATTTATAATTACAATATGGAGTATTTGTGATTGGTGTGCAAGCAAATCTCAAAGTAGATATCCTTCCCGTTGTCAGGATAAGTTTCATGCCAATCGTACATGAACTCGTGCAACGCATATCCATGCTACGTTGCCGTGATTACCCAAGGTAAGAGCGATGCCAGAATTCCGAGCACCAACGTTCTGTCAACTTAAACCGTGTCAACTGGTCGAATAACGATTTTGTGATACGGTTGACACATGAGAGCGATTGGCATAAGTGGCACCTAAAAATATAGTCAGAAAATTTCATTTCAAATGATGACTGATGCTTACCTCAGATGGAATCTGTGCCTCGTCTTCAGGTGATGTGAGAAACAACGCGTAATCTCCATCTGGCTCCTTTCTGTTCATACATAGCAGAATGTCAACCACCTCACGGCATGTGGTTTCTTCGGCCAGTAACAGCGACTTGTAATTCGACTGAAAATGTTTTCTTCCTCCGATGTTTTCTGCTGCATGTTTTCATAGCAATCATTCGAGATAATCGCTAGAGTTAACCTTCGGCCCGGGATTACCCACAGATCAGAGCGTATTATTTCCAAATGAGAACCAGTTCCGCACCTATAGCTTACAACTACCCTTAGCTCGGCCATTATTGAAACCCTAAATGTGTCATATTTGATTTTTGGCAGTAATGACTGCATGCCTTCACGTCACATTACCTTATTGCAGTTTTTATGAATTAATGGTAGCCTCAGAAACCTTCCTGGAGAGAGAGATAGGCAAAAATTTCCTCAAATATATTGACTTGGGACAGTCCTCCCACTTAAACTTGGAATGCCTTCTCTGTAGATGGAGATATAATTTTTAGAGAAATAGCAACTTTTCTAGAACTTTCCCCTCCAGAACTTCCCGAAGCAAATAACTTTTACAAAGCTAATTTTGTTTTTCAGAAAAACAAGTCGGTCACACTATTTCTGTAATTCATGTGAACTATGTTATTGTGATACATTGTTCGAGGAATTCCCCCTCCATCTGATCCACCACTTTCAAGGCCCTCTCTGTTCTTTAGCTTTGCTACTGGACATAAAGCTGCGAATCTGGATGAATATTACGTCGAGACAAAAGATATACGTTTATAAACTCTTTGAGTTTAGTTCCTATAAACACATTCCCGGATGAATAACAGCTAGTTGCTAGCCTACACCATGGTTGTGAACCAAATCGCATTAGAATAGACTTGTTCCACAAACCGAAAAAAGCCTGCAAATGGAGCATTCACGTCTCGCTGAAGCATGGACTTGGCTTTAAACAAACAGCTCAAGAAGTCAAGGTCAAGAACGAGAGTATGAATTATGAGCGCTACAAAGATGAAGCGAACTATTTAGTGCTTCTTACATATGCAAATACAACCTCGTTCAGATGCGCGAATGTTTGACATTCAGAGCAAAAAATCTAATCAAAGCAGCAAGGAACTAACCTGAGGAGAAATGTTATGATCGTGTACTCTGACGAGGGTCCCCTCGGAATTCATATGGAGCATAAATCGCGACATATTCGACGGGTGACACCTACAAATAATACTCTTTATTTTTAGGTGTCGCACCTAAAATAAGCTATAAAGAAAATTGTTGAGATCCTGCTTCGACGCTCACCTTTGCAATTCGAGCGGTCTAGCTAAGTGATCCAGCCTCAGAACTGTCTTCACAGCTTTACCATTAGCTTTGGTAGTAGCCTGAGCAAACTGTTCATCATGCACCACGGCACTACAATGAGAACACTTACCTCCATCCATAACTCAAACAGATTTGTGTCCCTGCACGAGATCTTGAATTTACTGAGCACGGTCTCAATTACGGATCGTGTTGTGCTTTGTGCCGAAATCCGAATAGTCTTGTAGTCAGTGCACGCCTTCACATTATTTGTGTAGACTCTCAGTGTTCCCTGAAGGATAGCAAGTGTCACTTCAAATTTGAATAATCCTCAAAAAGTGGCAGGCGAGCGCACCAAGGCAAGACCTTGCAAATCTTCCCGTCTACCTTAATCCAAAAATCTCCTTACCCAGTCACTTTCGGAATTCGCACTGTCCACCGAACTCAGCGACGCCAGCGAGCTGCTTCTGCTTGTCAGTGTAGTGTCGTCGGTCGACGAAGAAGGACTGCCATAGGCTAAAGGGCGACTGCTGGTTCTCACTTGGTACTTGAGCATCGCCTGTAAAAGAGTTCGATAGGGGAGGCAAGATCGTTTGATTCCGCTAAAATATGGACGCATCAACGGCGAATGAAAAGAAAAGTTGCAAGAAGGAACTTAGGGTACAGTGGAGAAGACCGCTTTTCTTGCACTTTTGAAAATGAGAAGACGCCGAGGACGGATGGACATAACATCGACAACAAAGGAAAAAAATTCTTCAAAATTTTTGGCGGTAAATCAATAGTATAACTGAGCATTTGCCAAGTGACAAAAAACGCTACATTTGAAATAGAAAAGAAGGCTTGCGTTCTCAACGGTCAGTCTAATATTAAAAGAAAGTTCAAAGAGAAAAAAATGAAATTGTAGAAAACAGATTTGTCTGTAAGGCCCCGGTCAGACTTCACGCGACTTAATCGTCGCGAAATCGCCAAAATTCCATTCATTTTCATTTCACATTCAAAAATTTCGGGCTGGAAAAGTATCACAATCGAATGCAAGTTGATCAGCATGGAATGATGTTGTAACAGTTGTCTCGTCGCGACCCAATCGCGACGATCAAATCGCGTGAAGTCTGCCCGGGGCCTAAGGGCGATCTATGGTAGCGAGCCTGATAAAACTAAAACACTGACCGTACCTTTCTATTAATTTTGAAGTATTACTAATATTATAAGGGGTAAATGAGCATTTCTGATTGTCTTCATTAGATTTTCAAGTTATCATGCCTAAGTTAGGATTTTATAGACACAGATTGGTACCTAGAGCTTTCCATTTGATGCGACTCTTTACAAATGCAAGAAATAAAAGATAACAAAGTGATGTTTCGATGGCAAGGTTTTCAAGTGGAAAGCGTAAACGATCAAAAAAATGAATTCTATAAATCTTGTAAATATTTGAGTAAGTAGGACGATAAATATGTAGATCTTCTTTAGATCAGAGTGTGACATGATGAGTCGCCACTAAACAAACTCAGCAAAGATATTCATATGCCCCTATTGTCTCAGCAATGGATCAGTACAGTAAAAGGCTTGCGCCATGCCAAAGGCCATTGCCCAGCCGGTTGAAAGGGACTCGATGACAAGTGGCTACTTTGTGAAGTTCTAAGACGTATAATGCTGATCGCAGCGCAGGAAGGGATTCGGATCACGCTTGGCTCACCAATAATGGCAAGATGATCCGAGAATGATATGTATTCTTGTATAAATCTATAGGAGCACGAAAAATTACTAGTGTCAATTTTGTTCGATTTTGGGCTGAAAATTCGAAGACTAATGTTACGCTGGAAAGAAAAAGATGTTGTTTGTGTCGTGTTTTGTTTTTATTTTGTTTTTTTTGTGTTTTTTGTAGCAAAGCAATAAGACAGATCTAAAGCAATGTATGAGGAGTACCATTTGATAGAGCAAAGAAACTCTACGGACCCTTAAACGAGCCAAAAAAATGAAAGCAACTCATATTGCCAAAAATCAGATATTTTTTCGTGCTAAATCAAGAAAAAACTGAAATGAAAATGGCAAACTCCGCTACATAATTGCAAGTAGATTCAAAGATGCCTAGAAAAGTATAACAAGTACAAAATAACGAGGCACGAAAACAAAAATATTTTGCTGCTACTCACTTCAAAAAATCGCTAATGATTTATTGAGAAATGAGCCATGTGAACTGAACGATAGACATAGTAGGCAACAGAGAGCCAAAGGTTTCAAAGTACATTTGTGCAACAGTGGTGTATGAGGTTTGCGCCGGAGAGCAAGAAGGCATTTTTGGTCATATAAGTTAAAACCAGAGAAAAGCAAGATATGCAAAGAGACGTGAGCGAGCAAATGGCTCAACGTATCGTGGTTTTCCCTTAACTTCGTCGATTTCTGCCACACAAACTATCATAAAATAGCTTGAGACCAAATGACATGCAGCAGAAATGGTTTGATGCGGCACGATCGAGAGGGTGGGACAATCGGATGGGCGGTCCGCGGGAAGATTAGGGAATGTTGACACAGCATTCGAGACCAGTAGGTATAAACTCGTTCTTTTTTGGATGTGGTTGATATACTAGGAAATTCTGGGAGATTTACTCATGTACCATGCTACTTTTCTTGCAAGCGAGCAACTTCCTCTTCGTGCATTCCACCAGACAAATCCAAGATGCGCTTGGAGTACTGCCATTTAAGGCGACGTTGCAATTTACAATTCTCGCTTCGCTGGAAGTGCACAAGGAAACAGAGAAACCTTGAGATTCTTTTTTTAGAGGATAAGCGTAGTGTTTTTCATTTACTTGAGTGCTAAAAATACCAGGTTAAAAACCAAAATTATGCTAAAATTAGTCATGGGCATAGATCAGTGACAAACAATAAAGCAGTTATGCAAACCTTGTCAAACCTTGGACCCGCCGAACTGCCTGAACTAACACAATTCGCGCGGTGAACCTACCATTATTATTGTACTCCTTTTCCCTAAATTATAGACTTCTTGCAAATCGCAAAGTTTACCAAAAAGGGAATCTTCATCGGAAAAAGATCTGCTACTCCCAAGAATGATCAACAAAATGAGACGTAACGAATTCCTAATACATCGAATGTGACAAGGCTGAGTGTGAACCTCACATGAAATGCAATAACTATATGAATAGGAAAAACCTGATAATTAATCTGTGTCACCACTTTTTGCTACAGTCACTAGAACCTCGATTATTTTACAAACGCAGTCTAATGAGCAATAGTGAAAGAACACAAATCATAGTACTATTTTATCACCTAACAAGTGATGAAATAGTAGTAAGAAGTGCCTTAGTGAAAGAAGGATTGCTATTTTGCAAGCAAGAAGCAACAGATAGTGCGTTGGAGCAAAGCACATTCAAGTTTTTTTTGTATTTGGCAAATGAAGACAGCTTGCTTTGGCTACCGTGGCTTCATTTTATCTTGGAAGAAGTCCAGACGAGAATGGTATATTAAGTTCGTACACATAATTAGAAACACGATCTCCAATTTGAATTGACACGGATGGAAGGAAGCATGCCTAGTTTAAAAAAGTCTGCTAGTAGGATAAAATAAGAACAAACATACAACAAGAGATGTCAGAGCGTGCAGACATCAATAGGGTAGATTGCTACCGCGGATGGCACGAAAAATGCTGAAGACGTGGATGAAGCAGCTCTCTCGAGGATCCAGAGCATAGGATTTCAACATTTCTTAAAAACCCATTTTTCCGCTTCTCGGCTAGTTATTGTTAATTCGTCTATTTCGCAGAGGGAAAGATAATGCATGACATTGCGAAACGCATAAATTCGCAATAAAAACGAC